ATAAACCCACGCTTGGCTTTGTCTTGGAGGCAGGATCTAGGAGACTGCAAAGGTGTTGCTTAGCTGGAAGGCTGGCGCCCTGCAGGCATCGACCAGACCTTAAATGGCATTGTCCTGTACCCTCCCCTCTCCCAATGCTTCCCTCTCAACCCAGCTGCTCTGCTGAGGGCAATCATAGTGACGAATGGGATTGTGATGAGAGAGCAGCCTGCAATGGCATTGGGGCCTGGTGTCCACAGTTACCAGGGCCCCTGGAGGACGTTGTAGGGGGCAAGGTGTGTAAGGAGTAGGATTACTCGTTCTCAGAAAGGCAGCTTTGGTTTTAATTGTCTCCATTCTGACAGGTTGGCGTGACCTTTGAGGACATTGCCCTGTACTTCTCCAGGAAGGAATGGAGCCTCCTTGATGAGGGTCAGAGACAGCTGTACCTGAATGTGATGCTGGAGAACTTTGAACTTATATCCTCCCTGGGTAAGACCCTCCCTCACACCAGTGAACTGCACTTGGCTTTGAGGTTTTCCAGACCCCATCCCCCAGGGTGTGTTCTGTCCTCCCAGGTAGACTGTGGTACTGCTTGTTTTTCCAGTTTGCTGGGTAGTTGCTGTCCTGGGGAGGGTTGGTCTGTTTCCACTGCCCTCTTCTATTCCTGAAGTCCCAATACTCCCCACTGCACTAAATTCACAGGGAAGGATTTGTGCTTGGTAGTGTGTCTGGACCTGAGGGATTCCACCTTGTTCAGTGAGGAAAGCATTTTCTGTGTTCTTTTTGGTAATTTGTACATAGTTTTTGAGGAATTGTTTCTAAATCCTTTTCCTGCTTAATAACTCTTTTTTTTGCTTAAATATTCTCTTGACTACCTTGTATATTTTATATATTAATTCCCTATCACATCCAGGAACACATATTTTTGCATGCACTTAATTGTGCTTTTCAGATGCAGATATTGCTGCCCCACACCCACTTTTCTACAAAGTCCATATTTTTAGCAATCCTGCATTCAGCAGGTCTAGTGCCACTATGTTTCTTTTTTTTTTTTTTTTAAATATATATTTTATTGATTTTTTTACAGAGAAGAAGGGTGAGGGATAGAGAGAAACATCGATGAGAGAGAAACATCGATCAGCTGCCTCCTGCACACTCCCTACTGGGGATGTGCCCGCAACCAAGGTACATGCCCTTGACCGGAATCGAACCCGGGACCCTTCAGTCCGCAGGCCGACGCTCTGTCCACTGAGCCAAACTGGTTAGGGTGCCACTATGTTTCTAGCAAGCAAAGATGCTTGTTACTAGTGCTTAGCAATAAAGTATTTTTTTAAAATATATTTTATTGATTTTTTACAGAGAGGAAGGGAGAGAGATAGTTAGAAACATCCATGAGAGAGAAACATCGATCAACTGCCTCCTACACATCTCCCACTGGGGATGTGCCCACAACCAAGGTACATGCCCTTGACCGGAATCTAACCTGGGACCTTTTAGTCCGCAGGCCACCGCTCTATCCACTGAGCCAAACCGGTTTCGGCAGCAATAAATATTTTTAATGAAGTTATATCTAGTTTGGTTTTCAGACAACTCATTGCATTGTTCTTAGCCTCCAGTAAAGTATTAACATAACTTTATTATTCCCTGGGAACTCCAACTATTGTGTGAATTTCTATCTATATCTCAATATTCTCTTTATTGTGCTGATCAGAACTGCATTCACAGTATCTCCAATCGATTCCTTCGTAGAATTTGCAAGTATTTTCTTCTATTCTCTAGATTTCCTTTCATTTCATTTTGTTTATTGCTAATGTGCTGTGAAGAAGCTTTTTTCTTTATTTGGTGCCATCTGGACTGTTTGTTTTTCCTTTTTTGTCTAGTGCTGTTGTCACATTCAGAAAATCCCGTCCAAGCAAAACTGCAAAACTTTTTCTCTAGGTTGTCCTGAAGTGTTTTACGTTTTAGCGCACACATTTAATTCTGTCATGCAGGTTGAGTTAAATTTTATCAGTGGTGTTTAGTATTGTTGTGTTTACATGTGAGTATTGATTTTTAGCAGCACCATTCATTGAAGAAACTATCTTTCCCTTCCTCTGTGTCTTGCAGCTTTGACAAAGATGACTTGAAAGGATGTTTTGGTTTATTTCTGTGTTTTCTGTTCTATGGATATATGTGTCTGTGTTTCTGCAGCAACACAGTTTGCTTGCTTTTTCTTTGTAATAAATTGAAGTCAGAAAGTATGATACCACCAGCTTTGTTCTTGCTCAAGTTTGTTTTTGCAATTCGAGTTTTTAGTTCCATACATTTCAAGATTCTCTTTTCATTTCTTCGTAAACACCATAATAATTATCCTCAGCATTGCATTAATCTATAGCATGCATTGCGTACTATGGATATCTTCACTATATTTCTTTTTAAAAATTCTTTAATGTTTAAAGTATTACATACAGTATTACATGTGTGTCTTCTTTCCCCCATTGACTACAAATGAGTGAGATGATGTGATATTTATCTTTCTCTAACTGGCTTATTTTGCTTAGAATAATGCTCTCCAGGTGCATCCATACTGTTTCAAATGATAAGAGTTCCTTCTTTTTACAGCAGCGTAGTATTTTTTTTTTAAATATATTTTATTGATTTTTGACAGAGAGGAAGGGAGAGGGATAGAGAGTTAGAAACATCGATCAGCTTTCTCCTGCACACCCCCTACTGGGGAGGTGCCCGCAACTAAGGTACATGCCCTTAACCGGAATCGAACCTGGGACCCCTCAGTCCCCAGGCTGACACTCTATCCACTGAGCCAAACCAGTCAGGGCAGCAGCGTAGTATTTTATCGTGTTGATGTACCACAGTTTTTTAATCCACTCATCTATCGATGGGCACTTAGGATATTTCTAAATCTTAGGTATGGTAAATTGTGCTACTGTGAACATAGGGGTGCATGTGTCCTTTACGATTTTTGTTTCTGATTTATTGGGATATGTTGCTAGAAGTGCTATTACTGGGTCAAATGGGAATTCAATTTATAATTTTTTGTGGAAAGTCTGTACTATTTTGCACAGTGTCAGCACCAGTCTGCATCACCATCAGTTGTGCACAAGGGTCCCTTATGTCCACTTCCTCACCAGGACTTGTCGTTTGTCCGTTAGTTGATGATAGCCATCCTGACAGGTGTGATATGATATCTCATTGTCGTTTTGATTTGCGTCTCTCAGATAATTAGTGACTTTAGGCAAGTTTTCATCTGTCTCTCGGCCCTCTGAATGCCCACTTTTGAAAAGTGTCTATTCAAGTCTTTTGCTTATTTTTTGATTGGCTCGTTTATCTTCTTCTTGTAAAGATGTATGAGTTCCTTGTAAATTTTGGAGATTAATTCCTTACCAGAGATAACATTGGCAAATATGTGCTCCTGGGCTCTCTTGTTTTTGTTGATGGTTTCATTTGCTTCACAGAAGCTTTTAATTTTGATGTAGTGCCATTTGTTTTTGTTTTTTCTTACTTTCCATTGCCCTCAGAGCTGTACTTGTAAAGATATTGCTCAGACATATGTCTGATATTTTGCTGCCTGTAGATCCTTCTGAAATGTTATGGTTTCCCCTCTTACGGTTAAGTCCTTTTCCCATTTTTAGTCTATTTTTGTGTATCGTATAAGTTGGTGGTCTAGTTCCATTTTATGCATGTATCTGTCCAGTTTTCCCAACACCATTTATTGAAGGGAGTGTCTTGACTCCATGGTATGCTATTTCCACCTTTGTCAAATATTGAGCATAAAGGGCTTGGGTTGATTTCTGTGTTCGCGGTTCTGTTGCATTCTTCTATGTGTCTGTTGTTGTGCGAGAACCAGGCATTTTTGTGCTATTGCTTGTTATCTGATCTTGTGATTCCTCCAACTTTGTTCTTCTTTCTCAAGATTGCTGTGCCTATTCGGTTGTTCTTTTTTTTTTTTTATTCCATATGAATTTTTGAAGAGTTTATCATAGGTCTGTGCAATATGCCCTTGGTATCGTTTAAGGAGTATTGCGTTGAGTCTGTAGATTTGTTTGGGCAGTATGGACATTTTATTGATGTTGATTCTACCAATCCACGAACACGGTATATTCTTTCATTTGTTTATATCGTCTTCTATCTCTTTTTTTCAACTTCTTGTAATTTTCTGAGTACAGGTCTTTGACCTCCTTACCTAAGTCTATTCCTAGGTATCCTAATATTTTTATTGCAGTGGTAGATAGGATTGTCTGTTTGTTTCTCTTTCTGTGAGTTGATTATTGGTGTATAAAGAAACCATAGATTTGTGGGTGTTAATTTTGTATCCTGCTACATTGCTGAATGCATTTATTATATTTAGTAGTTTTTCACAAAGACTTTAGTATTTTCCATGTACAATATTATATCATCTGCTAATAATGACCATTTTACTTCTTCTTTTCCTATTTGGATGCCTTTCATTTCTTCTTCTTGTCTGATCTCTATGGCTAGCACTTCCAGTCTTATATCAAACAGGAGTGGTACAAGTGGGCATCCCTCTCTTGTTCCTGTTCTTAGGGAAAATGGTTTTAGTTTTTGCCCATTGAGTGTGATATTGGCTGTAGATTTGTCACATAAGGCGTTTATTTTGTTGAGGTATGGGCTACATTGCTGAATGCATTTATTATATTTAGTAGTTTTTCACAAAGACTTTAGTATTTTCCATGTACAATATTATATCATCTGCTAATAATGACCATTTTACTTCTTCTTTTCCTATTTGGATGCCTTTCATTTCTTCTTCTTGTCTGATCTCTATGGCTAGCACTTCCAGTCTTATATCAAACAGGAGTGGTACAAGTGGGCATCCCTCTCTTGTTCCTGTTCTTAGGGAAAATGGTTTTAGTTTTTGCCCATTGAGTGTGATATTGGCTGTAGATTTGTCACATAAGGCGTTTATTTTGTTGAGGTATGATCCCTATAATCTCAATTTGCTGAGAGTTTTTCTCAAGAAAGGGTGTTGGATTTTGTCAAATGCTTTTTCTGCATCAATTGATATGATTGTGATTTTTGTCTCTCATTTTGTTTTTATGATGTATCATATTTATTGGTTTGCAGATATAGGACCATCCTTTCATCCCACAAATTAAATCCCACTTGGTCATGGTGTATGATCTTTCTAATGAAATGCTGGATCTGATTAGCCAGAATAAGGTTTAGGATTTTAGCGTTGGTAGGGGTCACTTCGACTACAGCGGGTGAAGTGCTGTGAAGAAGACACCCCTATGGTACAGGATTTGCTTCAGTGGGGCTTTGGTGCTCAGTGAATCTGCCCTTAAGTGTGTGGCTTATGGACGTTAAGAGTTGTAAGCTGCTATAATGACACTGACCACTGGGTACACTGGCTCTTTGTTCTCCTGGGAGGTGTAAAGTCAGCCACTGGCTGGAGACACCCAACTTGATCTATAGAGAGATTTGTAGATTCTTCTCTTTGTATCGGGTGTGGAAATGCCCTGATGAGGCCCAGCCTTGAATTAAGGGAGGCTAGTGCTGCTGCCGCATCTTGGTCCTTTATTGATAGGTTTGGGCCTCCCAGACCCAACTGCAACTTTTTTGACAGGATTTAGCCTGACAAGAGAGGCCATTCATATAGAAAAGGTGCTGCACATAGCTTGGGTGGGGTTTTAAATGGGATAAAGTGAGGTCTCAAGGAATCCCCAGGGTGAAGCCAACTGAAATGATTGTCAATCAGACCTGCGACCTGGGATGTCCCAACGTAGGTATAATGACGTCTGCCAGCACCTCCGTCTGGGAGAAACCGACCCCTTAGTTCCTGCCCCAATGCCAGTCAGTGCACTTTCTCCTCATATATGTCTTCATCCGCCCCTTCCCCCCAGGACCTCCTGTCCCAGGAGGTCAGGGGAATCAGTTGCTTGTAAGTTCAGTATTCTCGTTTCGTAACATCAACCTCTCTTATGCTTTGGGGTTCATAGTGTCAGGTGTAACGTCTTACGTTTCATTTCTTTTTTCATTCCGTTGAGGTTTTTTTTTTCTTTTTTATTTATTTGTTTTTGTTTTTTTTTCTTTAGTCTAGCTCAGCGGTGGGCAACCTTTTTGTGAGTGCGTGCCAAGACCAGCAAAATCTCTGACTCAAAATTCTGCGTGCGAACCGTAATTTTTTTAGATCAAGTTACGCCTACTTGATATCTCTGGTGTATGCATGTGAAGAATCTTGATGAAATATTCCGAAACCGGTTTGGCTCAGTGGATAGAGCGTCAGCCTGTGGACTGAAAGGTCCCAGGTTTGATTCCGGTCAAGGGCATGTACCTGGGTTGCGGGTACATCCCCGGTGGAGGATGTGCAGGAGGTGGCTCAACCACAGTCCCCTTCTCAGGTACAATTATTTGCTAGAATGGCTCACAGAACTCAGGAAGGAATTTACTTATGTTTAGCATAAGTAAACATACAACAAACAAAAATAATGAACACAACATTATGTTGTATTCATTATTAAGACTACAACTCCAGCCAAAACCAGTTTGGCTCAGTGGATAGAATGTCGGCCTGCAGACTGAAAGGTTCCAGGTTCGATTCCGGTCAAGGGCATGTACCTGGGTTGTGGGCACATCCCCAGTAGGAGATGTGCAGGAGGCAGCTGATCGATATTTCTCTCTCATCGATGTTTCTGACGCTCTATCTCTCTCCCTTCCTCTCTTTAAAAAATCAATAAAATATATTTTTAAAAAAAGAAAGAAATAATAACATTCATTCCAGCGACAAAAACACAGTATATGGTGATGAAAAATACATTTAGTGTTTAATGTATACATGTTATGTAAAATTATTTATTTATCTAAGATGCACCTACACTGAATTTATCTCAAAAAGAAAAGTCGATATTTCTCTCTCATTGATGTTTCTGACGCTCTATCTCTCTCCCTTCCTCTCTGTAAAAAATCAATAAAATATATTTTTTAAAAAAAGAAAGAAATAATAACATTCATTCCAGCGACAAAAACACAGTATATGGTGATGAAAAATACATTTAGTGTTTAATGTATACATGTTATGTAAAATTATTTATTTATCTAAGATGCACCTACACTGAATTTATCTCAAAAAGAAAAGTCGATATTGAGAAAAAAATTGTAAATGAAAGATTATAAGAGAGAGGTTTCCATGCCAGCATGTAACAGAGATTGCCCACCCCTGGTCTAGATCAAGGTTTACCAATTTTTGTATTTGAGAAAAGTACCTGTTAGGTATTTTTTAAATTTTGTCTTATCTCCCTTTAATTGATGCTTGTTCAAATATTTCTTGTGTCATTTCTGTGCAGTCTTTCAGTTTACTTTCTTGTTTTGTTTATAGATTCCTGAGATGGAAGGTTAGGTTTTTGAGATCTTTTTTCATAATGTAGGCATTTTTCCCTATAAGAAATAGTTGGAGGAATATTACATAAAGTAGGTGATTAAATGTATGAGATAATTCAGACTAATGAGACTTCACTTTCTTTTTTTTTAATTAAATCTTTATTGTTCAGATTATTACAGTTGTTCCTCTTTCCCCCCCATAGCTCCCCTCCACCCGGTTCCCACCTTACCCTACCCCAAACTGTCCTCATCCATAGGTGTAAGATTTTTGTCCAGTCTCTTCCCGAACCCCCACACCCCTTCCCCCCCCGCCCCGAGAATAGTCAGTTCACGCCCTTTCTATGCCCCTGATTCTATTATATTCACCAGTTCATTCTGTACATCAGGTTATTTATTCACTTGATTCTTAGATTCATTTGTTGATAGATGCATATTTGTTGTTCATAATTTGTATCTTTACCTTTTCCTTCTTCTTCCTCTTCTTAAAGGATACCTTTCAGCATTTCATTTAATACTGGGTTGGTGGTGATAAACTCCTTCAGCTTTTTCTTATCTGTGAAGCTCTTTATCTGACCTTCAATTCTGAATGATAGCTTTGCTGGATAAAGTAATCTTGGTTGTAGGTTCTTGGCATTCATCACTTTGAATATTTCTTGCCACTCCCTTCTGGCCTACAAAGTTTCTGTTGAGAAATCAGATGACAGTCATATGGATACTCCCTTGTAGGTAACTGACCTCTTTCTCTTGCTGCTTTTAAGATTTTCTCTTTGTCTTTTACTCTTGGCATTTTAATGATGATGTGTCTTGGTGTGGTCCTCTTTGGATTCCTTTTGTTTGGGGTTCTCTGCGCTTCTTGGACCTGTAAGTCCATTTCTTTCTCCAGGTGGGGGAAGTTTTCTGCCATTATTTCTTGAAATAGGTTTTCAATATCTTGCTGTCTCTCATCTTCTGGCACTCCAATGACTCTGATATTAGTCCGCTTAAAGCTGTCCCAGAGGCTCCTTACACTATCTTTACACTTTCGGATTCTTTTTTCATTTTGCTTTTCCAATTGGGTGTTTTTTGTCAAATCTTTGGTTTGATTCTTGTGCTCCTCTGGTCTGCTATTGGGTATAATATTCTTTATTTCAGTCCGTGTATGCTTACTTTCTAATTTCTTTATCGTAGCATCGAGGGTCTCATTAGTTTTCGTGAGGCTCTGCACAAATTTATGGCAAGCCCTCAAAATTGCGATTCTTAGCTCCATATCCTCCATTTCTGTCATGTTTTTTTGTCTCCGCATCTTTTATGCTTTCTTGGTGCACCCCCTTGTGGTCTCTGTGCGCAGTCTTGTTCTAGCCAAGCCTTAATTGTTGTAGTTAACACTAGAGGGATTTGACCATCAGGCCGACTCGGTTGCCTTTTTATTGACTATGTCAATAGATTGTTTTGATTTGAGTTTTGGGTTTGGCTACCTTGAAATTGTTACTTGTATATTTATTATTGCTTTCAGATAGAGAGGAAGAGAGATGGAGAAAAAGAGAGAGAGTAACATCAGAGTGAGGGAGAAACATCAATCGGCTGCCTTCTGTACACAAGCTAACTGGAAATGGAATCCACATACTGATATGTGCCTTCACTGTGAATTGAATCCTCGACCCTTTGGTACTCAGGACGATGCTCCAACCAATTGAGCCATACTGGCCAAGGCATTCTGAGGTTTTTAAACACACAAATTTCCAGGTTTTGTTGTAGAACAGGCCACTAGGGTCAATGATAGCAGAAGCATAACTCTGACCCTTGTTTTTGACTGTAGGTATCTTCAAATATATTTGTTCACCCAGTGTTTCCAGTCATCCTTTCTGTACAGTTCTCCTCTATTTGTGTCTGTAATACTTTTTGTCTTCATGGTACTCTTATTCCCATTTCCTATGGGGTTTTTGTTCATGGAAAGCTGTCTACTTATACTGGGAAGGGGGAAGAAGCTCATCTCCCTGATCCTGCCATTTTGCTGATGTCACTCACCTTGGTCTTTTGACTGTGATCTCATTTGTCCTTTGTTGTTCTACCACAGTATTGACCCTCCATGTTCTTTGCATTATTTATCCCAAGCAATGCCTCAAATGGGATTGAAGGGGAAGAACCATTTGTACATTCCAGAAGAAACACGACTTTATGAATGACACAGTGGACCCCAGGCGATCTTTCTTTGGGGTAGGGTCATTGGGGAGGAATTCATGACAGGCGTTTGTTACGTTCATAGCGAGAAACCCAGTGTTTTGTTACAGTTGCCCATTCCTCACACAGTTATGCTTGTTTGTGCTTATTGTTGATGCTTTGCCAACTATTTCATTCTAATTATGATCATTTCTACTTAGATTCCCAGCTCACAGATAACCTTAACCTCCCTGGACCTTGTACCTCTGCCTCTTTCACAGGTCTCTCTGTACTGCAAGCCAACATTGGTCCATGCATGTAGCACTTTGGAGAGAACACATGTTATTATATTCGAGTTGTATATCCTGTGAGCTAATAAAATTATTTTTTATGGCTCTGAGCAGCTTGAAATTATTCCACACAGACTCACATGGTCAGAATGTAAGGTTTTAAAGGAAGCCATTTGTGCAAGAACAATGAGTAGAGCCTTCCTCTATTCTTTGTATCTACTGATATGCTTCTGTCCCTATCTTGATGAGGTTTCCATTATCGACTGACTTTTGGGGCCATGTTATTTATAAAAGCAATTTCCTCACTGTCTAACTCACTCTTAGTGAAAATCTTTCTATGCAATCATGCCTAGTCATGACTGTTAATCATTTGTGGTGAAGATATTCTGTTTTCATAAGGTCAACATGTACCTCACCAGCATTTCCTTTTATACAGGTTGCTGCTGTGGAGCAGAGAATGTGGAGGCACTGACTGAGCAGAACGTTTCTGTTAAAGTGTCACAGGGAAGAAATATCAAGGTAGCCTTGTCTTCCCAGAAGAGCCACCCCTGTGAGAGTTGTGGGCCCGTCTTGGGAAACATTTTCCATGTGATGGAGCTTCAGGGAACACAACATAGACAGATACTGTTGAGGTGTGGGGCATGTGCAAAATGGTTTTACTTCAGTGTAAAATTTCACCAATGGCATGTGAGAGAGAAGACTTTCATTAGAGGTGTGGACAGCATCTCACTTTCAAACAGCTGCAATTTCATTGTGTCCCAGAATTGTTTCACCTATGGAGAGGTTGGGCAGGCTCTCCTTACTGGGTCAGGACATCTCCACCTAAAGGCTCCTCAGACTAGTGACAGTACAAATGCTATTTCAACCCGTGGGATGATGTTTCAAAGGAGAAAAAATTGTTACGCCAGAAAAGAATGTAAGAAAGACATTAGTTGCAACAACATGTTTATTCAGGAAAAGGGTGTCCATGCTGGAAGCCGATGTTTTGTGTGCTCTGAATGTGGAAAATCTTTTACAACTAACTCTCACCTTCATAAACATCAGAGAGTTCATACGGGAGAAAAGCCTTATCAATGCAGTGAATGTGGGAAAACTTATACCACTAACACCAGCCTTCGTAGTCATCAGAGAATTCACACTGGAGAAAAGCCTTATCAATGCAGTGAATGTGGAAAGACTTTTACAAGTACCAGAGGTCTCCAATATCATCATCGAGTTCACACTGGAGAAAAACCTTATAAATGCAGTCCATGTGGGAAATGTTTTATTACTAAGACCCAACTTCGTAGTCATCAGAGAGTTCACACAGGAGAAAAGCCTTATCAATGCAGTGAGTGTGGAAAAACTTTTACAAATACCAGAGGTCTCCGATATCATCAGAGAGTTCACAGTGGAGAAAAACCTTATCAATGCAGTTCATGTCGGAAATGTTTTATTACTAACACCCACCTTCGTACTCATCAGAGAGTTCATACTGGAGAAAAGCCCTATAAATGCAGTGACTGTGGAAAATCTTTTACTGCGAGATATCCTCTGTCGTCATCAGAGAGTTCACACTGGAGAAAAGCCTTATAAATGCAGTGAATGTGGCAAATCTTTTACCTGGAGTAGTACGTCTCCAGTATCATCAGAAAGTTCACACTGGAGATAAACCTTATAAATGCAGTGCATGTGGCAAATGTTTTATTACTAAGACCCATCTTCGTAGTCATCAGAAAGTTCATACTGGAGAAAAGCCCTATAAATGTCGTAAATGTGGGAAATGTTTTAACACATGCACTGATCTTTGTCTTCATCAGAGAGTTCACACTGCAGAAAAGCCTTATAAATGCTGTGAATGTGGAAAGTCTTTTACACGTAGTATTGGTCTCCAGTATCATCATAGACTTCACACAGGAGAAAAACCTTATCAATGCAGTGAATGTGGAAAAACTTTTACAGGTTCCAGAGGTCTCCAATATCACCAGAGAGTTCACACTGGAGAAAAACCTTATAAATGCAGTGCATGTGGGAAATGTTTTATTGCTAAGGCCCACCTTCGTAGTCATCAGAGAGTTCATACTGGAGAAAAGCCCTATAAATGCAGTGACTGTGGAAAATCTTTTACTGCTAGGTATACCCTACAACATCACCAGAGAATTCACACTGGAGAAGAGCCCTATAAATGCAGGGAATGTGGGAGAATTTTTTCAAGTATCAAGGGTCTCCAGTATCATCAGAAAGTTCACACTGGAGAAAAACCTTATAAATGCAATACATGTGGCAAATGTTTTATTACTAAGACCCACCTTCGTCGTCATCAGAGAGTTCATACTGGAGAAGAGCCCTATAAATGCCGTGAATGTGGGAAATCTTTTAACACATGCACTGATCTTTGTCCTCATCAGATAGTTCACTCTGGAGAAAAGCCTTATAAATGCAGTAAATGTGGAAAATCTTTTAAACGTAGCAGTGGTCTCCAATTGCATCTCAGAGTGCACACTGAAGAAAGACCTTATCTCAGCAGTGAATGTGGGAAGTCTTTTATCACTAGCTCTGAACTTCATTGTCATCAGAAATGTCATACTGGCGAAACTCTTTATAAATGCAGTGAATGTGGAAAGTGTTTTAAAAGTCGCAGTGGTTTCCAATATCATCTTCAGAGCGTGCACACAGGAGAAAAGCCTTATCAATGCAGTGAATGTGGGAAATGTTTTATTACTAAGACCCACCTTCGTATTCATCAGAGAATTCATACTGGAGAAAAGCCTTATAAATGCAGTGCATGTGGGAAATGTTTTATTACTAAGGCCCAACTTGGTATTCATCAGAGAGTTCATTCTGGAGAAAAGCCTTACAAATGCAGTGATTGTGGGAAATCTTTTATCACTAAAACCGACCTTCAGAGTCATCAGCGAATTCATACTGGAGAAAAGCCTTATAAATGCAGTGCATGTGGGAAATGTTTTATTACTAAGGCCCAACTTGGTATTCATCAGAGAGTTCATACAGGAGAAAAGCCTTATAAATGCAGTGAATGTGGGAAATCTTTTATCACTAAAACCTGCCTTCGTAGCCATCAGCGAGTTCATACAGGAGAAAAGCCTTATAAATGCAGTAAATGTGGAAAATCTTTTAAACGTAGGAGTGGTCTCCATTATCATCGCAGAGTGCACACTGCAGAAAGACCTCAGCAGTGAATGTGGGAAATCTTTTATTACTAGCTCTGAACTTCATTGTCATCAGACATTTCATACTGGGGAAAATCTTTATAAATGCAGTGAATGTGGAAAGTATTTTAAAAGTCACAGTGGCCTCCAATATCATCAGAGCGTTCACACAGGAGAAAACCCTTATCAATGCAGTGAATGAGAGAAGTCTTTTAATACTAGGACTGAACTTCATAATTATCAGAGAGTTCATTCAGGAGAGAACACTTAGAAATGCAGTGAATGTGGGAAATCTTTTACAAGTAGCAATAGTCTTTAGTATCATCAGAGAGTTCATACTGGAGAAAGCAGTTATGAGTGCACTTAGTGTGAGATGTGGGGAGCCGGCATGGCCATGGCATACTCAGTGCCAGTGTGCCTTATGTGCCATGCCAGCTCAGCCTGGGTCAGTGACCCTGAGTTGGGGCGATGAAAGTATTAAGAAAAGACAGAGAGTCCTAGCCAGTTTGCCTCAGTGGATAGAGTGTCAGCCTGCGGACCGAAGGGTCCCGGGTTCGATTCCAGCCAAGGGCACATGCATGGGCTGCAGGCTCGATCCCCAGTCAGGGTGGTGCAGGATGCAGCCAATCAGTGATTCTCATCATTGATGTTTCTATCTCTCTCTCCCTCTTCCTTTCTCTCTGAAATCAATAAAAAAGAAATATAATTTTTTTAAAAAAAAAGAAAAGACAGAGAAGAGAATGAAAGCTGGGTCTCGGTGTGATGCTGCTCTCTGGGGTGGAGAGAGACAGTGCCAACGCCCACAAGCCGTGTCTTTATTTTATAGCAGATGCCACGAGGCAAAGTAAGGGCGTGATCAAGATGTTTACAACATTCTCGTGGGTTCAAATCCTACTCAAGTACATGCACCTGAATTCTATCTCTCAGGCACGTGGGGCCAAGTGTTTGGACTATAGGTTCAAGCTTACAACTATAGCTATTGGCTATAATTATGCTGAGAAGGCTCTGCCCTCCAAGTTGGGACTTGCACGTGGCAATGAGAGGACTGTGCTCTCTCATCAGTCCAAGGCTTGAACCTGTCGAAAACACTGTAGCTCTCCCCAAAAGATATCTCGCACCCAAATTTGTAAATCCGCTCTGCACAAAAGAGTCCAAATATGAAAATTTTTTAAACGTGTGGAACATGTCGTTTCTCTGTTAGGATTTAACAGTTGTGTAAGAAAATATGTGAGGTCTCAGTCTGAATTACATCTCATAAATTTCATCACCTCCATTATGTGATATCCCCCAACTGTTTTTGTTCTGTTTGTTAGTATTTCTGTTGGAACCATATGTGTCTATATTGCACGTTCCAACATAGGGAGAAGTGTTTCCATGTGTATGTGACTTCATATTTTTGTTGATGAAGGTATTTCACCTGAATCCCCTATAAGGTCCCTAGAGATGGCATCAATCACCATCCTCCTGTGCCCAGGGAAGCTAACTCTGTGGTGTCATTTGTTGAAGAAATTTGGGAATACCTGAGCCCTTAGTTCTTCTTTGTTTCCCTGTCATGAGTTGCCACATAGGAATGATTACCATTGGTGCCAGTAAACACAAGGTTGGAGAAAAACTGCCATTGTCAGGGACACACTTTCCCTACATGCCAGTGATGAATTTATTGAGTTCCTAAGTCATCAGTGGGAGAACTGCCAGTCCAGTTCTCTTTCATTGCAAAATAATGAAGGCTTTTTTCTAGGACTTCTTTAATGTTGTGTTCTTTTGACTCTATTGGTTAATTTATAAGAGAAGGAAATATTATTTTGCCTCTACAATATCATTTCCCTCATTTTCACGCACTTAACTCCTTAGAAAAAGGAAACATTGTTAGGGTTTGGCAGGTGGTGCAGGCTGTGGAAGAATTTACACCTAAAAGAAGCCATGCTGGGAGGAAGTCTGTTTTCCTTTCCAAGAGAAGAAAGGACCAAGTATTGCTTGTCAATGCAGGGCAAGCCAGAAAGGCTGGGTTCTGCTTTTCATCAGTGGCTCTAGCTAAGAGAGAACAAATGCAGGGGCCTGGGGCTTTGCTGAAGTTGAGTAGATATGAGGTGCTGTCTTTAAAAGTCACAGTGTGTTTGCTTTCCAGGAGACAGTCTGGCAGATGTATAGGGAGGTGTCTTATCAATATTTTTCCCAAGCCTAAAAACTATGACTAGAGAAAAAGGTATGGAGTGTTCAAAAGAGGCTTGTTTAAAGAGGTGGAAGAAAGGAAACTGCGGGGCACAGCTACAGTGTTTTTGACAGGTTCTAGCCTTGGACTGATGAGAGGGCACAGTCCTCTCATTGGCCCCGTGCAAGTCCCAGCTGGAGGGCAGGGCCTTCTCAGCACAATTATAGCCAACAGCCTCAGTTGTAAGCTTGAACCTATGGTCCGAAAAGGGGCCCACGTGACTGTGTGATAGAGTTCAGGTGCTTGTAGTTGAGTAGGGTTGAAACCAACGAGAATGTTGTAAACAACTTGATCACGCCCCTACTTTGCCTCATGGCATCTGCTATAAAATAAAGACGCGGCTTGTTGGCGCTGTCTCCTCATCAGGGAGGCAGCGTCCCACCGAGACCCAGCTTTCATTCTCTTGTCTATCTTTTCTTAATCCTTTCATCACCCCCACTCTGGATCACTCTTGGCCGTGCTGGCGCGGCACAAGTGGCATCCGAGCAGGCCTGAGTTCGGGGGGAATTTAAAAAGTGGTCAGTTGAAAGGAGTCCAAGGCGCAGGCAGAGAGTAAGATTAAAAAGCAAAAGTAAGGGAAGAAGTCCAAAAAACAAAAATATGGTAGGGAGCTGTGGTATGGTAAATTAGCTCGGTGTAAAACATGGGACCCGATCCCAGTCAACAGTACACACACACACAAACATGGGCCAGTGCTTAATTGAAACATTTTTAAAGTAGGCATTTTAAAAATTTCTAAGGTAGAAATAAGTGGGGAGAAACCAAGATGGCAGCATAGTTAAACACCGAAATTTGCTTCCTCGAACAGCCACTTCAAAAATACAACTAAAAGACGGAATGGATATCATCCAGAACCACAGGAAGGCTGGCTGAGTGGAAATTTTACAACTAGAAGGAAAGAGAAAAGCATACTGAGCCTTAGAGGAGGTGCGGTGCGAAAGTAAAATACTAAGGTGCGGAGGTGCATGAGGAGCGGGTTGGCGGCTGAGGTCGCTGTTGTCGTTTTCAATTGGGAGGGAGTCTCAGGCTCTGAGCTCCAGTTCCGGGCAAGACTCTAGGGACCCAGTCTCATATGGGAGAAGCAGGACTTTCTGGCATCAGTTGGAACTTGAGGGCAGCTTTCTGTCAGAGGGGCTGCCAGGGATTTCCAAGATACTGAGAAGGGGAGACGCCATAACTGCTAGCCCCGCCCTGTTGATCCAGTGGGACCTGCCCCGCCCAAGCCCTGCAGGGAGGCGTTTGCTGGATAGCCTCAGGCAAAGACTAGATTAGCACCTCCCTAGAGATCCAGGAGCCAGGAAACCCAGAGGTCAGAGTGGGATCCAGTTTGCCGCTCCGTGGAACCATAAAAGACATGCTCAGGGAGCAGACTCAGTGATCACCAAAGCCCCATTGAAGCAAGTCTTGCCTCAGAAGGGTGTCTCCAGGAAAGAAGTTCTCCCACTGCAGACACAGCTGATTCTCACAGCCAATTGGCCTGGAGGTCAATTCCTCTCAGTGATACCTACAACAATCAAGACTGCGCGCAAAGACCACAAGGGGGTGCACCAAGAAAACATAAAAATGCGGAGACAAAGAAACATCACAGAAATGGAGGATATAGAGCTAAAAAACACACTTTAAAGGGCTTTCAATAATTTTCTAGAAACTGCCGATAAACTTGATGAGATCCTCAAGAAATCTAATGAGACTCTCGATGTTGTGATAAAGAACCAACTAGAAATTAAGCATACACTGACTGAAATAAAGAATATTATACAGAGCTCCAACATCAGACTAGAGGATCACAAGAATCAAGTCAAAGATTTGAAATACGAAGGAGCAAAAAATACCCAACCAGAAAAACTAGAAGAAAAAAGAATCCAAAAATATGAAGATAGTGTAAGGAGCCTCTGGGACAACTTCAAGTGTACCAACATCCGGATTATAGGGGTGCCAGAAGATGAGAGACAGCAAGATATTGAAAACCTATTTGAAGAAATAATGACAGAAAACTTCCCCCACCTGGTGAAAGAAATGGACTTACAGGTCCAAGAAGCGCAGAGAACCCCAAACAAAAGGAATCCAAAGAGGACCACACCAAGACACATCATAATTAAAATGTCAAGAGCAAAAGACAATGAGAGAATCTTAAAAGCAGCAAGAGAAAAACAATCAGTTACCTACAAGGGAGTACCCATACAACTGTCAGCTGATTTCTCAACAGAAACTTTGCAGACCAGAAGGGAATGGCAAGAAATATTATAAGTGATGAGTACCAAGAACCTACAACCAAGATTACTTTATCCAGAAAAGCTATCATTCAGAATTGAAGGTCAGATAAAGAGCTTCACAGATAAGGAAAAGCTAAAGGAGTTCATCACCACTAAACCAGTATTATATGAAATGCTGAAAGGTATCCTTTAAGAAGAGGAAGAAGAAGAAAAAGGTAAAGATACAAATTATGAACAACAAACATGCATCTATCAACAAGTGAATCTAAGAATCAAGTGAATAAATAATCTGATTTACAGAATGAACTGGTTATTATAATAGAATCAGGGACATAGAAAGGGAATGGACTGACTATTCTTGAGGGGTAAAGGGGAGTGGGAGTTGCAGGAATAGACTGGACAAAAATCGTGCACCTATGGATGAGGACAGTGGGTGGGGAGTGAGGGCAGAGGGTGGGGCGGGAACTGGGAGGAGGGGAGTTATGGGGGGAAAGAAGAGGAACAAATGTAATACTGAACAATAAAGCTTCAATTAATTTTTTAAAAAAAAATTAGCAGAAGCAACTTTGAGATTGCTATATAGCTGAAGACCCAGAGAAAATTCCTAGTTGTATCTTCCGTTTGTGGTCCATGATTCAGGACTACCTAGAGCCCCTTCCTGAAAAGGGATGGATGAATGTGGCAGGAGATGTAAGACAAATAGTAGAAAGTTACCAGAGGCTTTGAATCTACTTGTATCTTCGGCACATCCATTACCTCCTCCAGTCCCTGGAGCTACCATTCCTGTGGGGGAAAGCCCTCTGGACAATGTGCTTCCCCCCAAAACGAACGAGAATTGGAGGAGGTGACAGAGAGGGAACAACACAGGCGAAACTGGAATGATGGTGGTCTAATGCAAGCCTTCGGGAAGTTTACTGTTACTCATAAGCCTCTCCAGTTGCCTTCTAAACAAGCAAGAGCAAGCGTGGGATCTCTGTCTCTACTCCAGTGGTCTCTGTAAGAGGCTACGCAGGCTGGGGAAGATACTTTAGGATTTAGTAGCTAATCATACTCTTAAAATGCAATTACTAAAACAAAAAGGAGGAGAATAGGTTGTGCTTGTATCTTTCTAGAAGGAGCAGTACAGCCAATTTGGGTGCCAGAACAATGGTCCCAGAGAGGCTCCTTGTCCCTCCATTCGAGAGACTGAGAATTGCCCCAATGACAGCAAAGAGGAAGAAAAAGAAAAGGCTAGATAAGCTGTAGAAATAGAGAGGGAAATAAGCGATAGCAAATAAGCTGTAGAAATAGAGAGTAGGAAATAAGTTGTAGAAATATAGAAATAAGCTGTAGAAAATAAGCAGTAGCAGCATTATAAAAGTACAAATAAGCTGTAGAAATAGAGAAATAAGCAGGGGTTGAGACCCAGGAAGGTTTGGGCAGGGGCAGCGAAGCCTACCTATAGTTCATAGTTAGAGGTAGAGAAATAAGTAGGAAATAAGCTGTAGAAAGTAAGCGGTAGAAAGAAGCAAAAGAAAGTAAGTGGTAGACATTAGAAAATGAGCGGTGAGAAATATGCTCTGAAAAATAAGTGGTAGGAAATAAGCTGTAGAAATAGAGAAATAAGCTGTAGAAATAAAAAATAAGTTGCAGAAATAGAGAAATAAGTCTTAGAGAAATAAGTGGTAGGAAACAAGCGTTCGGAAATAGGCGGTAGAAAATAAGTAATTAGGAGATACAAAATAAGGTAGAAATCTCCTAGGTTTTGTTTAAGCCACTGTAAAGCAAAAGATGACTGTGGTTGATGATGTTTAAGGAAGTAACTTTTATTTCTGACCTAGATTGTAAGTTCTTGTGGCAGTTGCATTGTTTCTGGGCTTTGGTTATCTTTGCTTGTGTGACCGGATAGCTCCCAGGGACTTCGGGTCTGTGTGACACGCCAGACTCGAGTTGGAGGTCTCCAGCTCTGCAGGACCGAGGGCTGCTCGTTTTCATGCATCCATGGCTAGAGAAAGAGGCTGAGAAAGGACCAGACTTCCACCTGTGCGGACGGGGCTGGTTTGACTGGGACTGGTGCGGACTCAGGGCCAAGGCCAACCATGCAAACAGCCTAATCCAGGGGACTAGTTTTGCATCAAGGACATCTTTCTATCGGCGGGATATCAGCATGGAGTCAGCTGAAGAAGATGGCGACTGAGGCCAAGCAGATGTTGGAAAAGCAAGTGAAAGCTATGCTAGCGTTGGTAAACTGCCAGTTTTCTGTGAAATCTTGCGGAGCTAAAACTAAAGACTCTAAGTAAGATATCCTGAAAATGTTAACATGTTTGTAGTTTGTTTTTGCATTGGTATTGCTTTGTTATTAGCCAGAGTTTTGTTCTCTTGTTAACACTGCTGTGTCTGTAGTTTTGTTAATAACCAGAAGTTTGTTTTGATGTTTTGATTATGCTGAGTAATTTAGTTTTTTGGATAATGTAAATAGGCGTGTTTAAAAACAAAGGGGGATATATGGGACTCGGCTACAGTGTTTTGGACAGGTTCAAGCCTCGGACTAATGAGAGGGCACAGGTCTCGTGGCCACGTGCAAGTCCCTGCTGGAGGGCAGGGCCCTCCCAGCACAATTATAGCCAACAGCTATAGTTGTAAACTTGAACCTATGGTCCAAACATGTGGCCCCACGTGCCTTTGTGATAGAGTTCAGGTGCATGTAGTTGAGTAGGGTTGAAACCAACAAGAATGTTGTAAACAACTTGATCACCCCCCCTACTTTGCCTCATGGCATCTGGAATAAAATAAAGACATGGCTTGTGGGCATTGACTCCTCATCAGGGAGGCAGTGTCCCACGGAGACCCAGCTTTCATTCTCTTGTCTGTCTTTTCTTAATCCTTTCATCACCCCCACTCAGGATCACCCTTGGCTGTGCTGGCGCGGCACAGAAACTTTCTACTAACTAGAGACCCCTTGGTGCAAATTATGCCTGACGTGTGATAACAGCAGGAAGGAGGGGTATGTGAGAATTTCACCTTGAAAGTAGCTTACCTTTTTCAGCAGTTTGACCAGAGGAACTGTGTGAATTAGAGGAGCCAACAATCTAGGGGTTTAATTAGCAGCTGCTTCTCATAAATTTTGGAAGGCCACAGCAAAGAAAAAGACTTTTTTCCCCCTTACAAACACCGCAACCACACTTAGAACCTAATGCTTTGTTGCCTGAGGAGTGACTACCTCTAGGAGACCAAATAAAAGGACACCAGCAATCCTGGGGGCATTGTGTTCATTACGACAAAAGCAATGGGTCCCAGAGTTAATAAACCACTCATTGAATTTTCTCCTCAACCCACAGGTTCTAAGTCCCCAGTATGGACAAAACTGATGGCACACAGTAAACCTAGCAAGCTCAGGGAGCCTGGCATGGCATGGGCAATCTTAAAAACTCAGAAGCCAAAAGTAACCATATAGAATGGTTTGAAGTTAAAACTTTCTAAGTAAATGTGAGTCTCAGGGGTAGTTATGTCCTAGCTTGTGTGTGTGTGTGTGTGTGTGTTTTGCAATGGTCAATATTTACCTTATTGAGGCTCTCTGTCGTCTTTTGCATCTGGGATAACATACCATTGGATTGGATTTTTAGGGACATTTCTGTTTCACAGACTCCTAAGAGCACAATCTCCCAACATAGAAGACCACAGAGCCCCCATTATTATTGCACTTGGGTTAAATATTAACTGTTAACTGATTGATAAATTTTTAAAAAGTAGTTTGTCTATTTTTTTCTTTTTATCCAATCCGAGAGATTTCCCTCCTTAGCTCTCCCACCTAATTTATCACAAGTTAATTTCACTTCCCCCCCCCCCTTAGAATCTAATGTATAAAAAAGGTGCAAAACTGCCATTGTCCCTAGCATTACTCAACCTGTTGTTGTTTTCCTTCCTTGCAGATGTGGCCGACTTGGGTCAAATAAACTTTAAAAATTCTCCATAGGTTTGGACATTTCTTACAACAACACCAAAAGCAATTGACTCATGTGAAGCAGGAGAAGGTTCCATGGAGGGGTATCAGCATTTCCAGGGACTCAACTGACAGAAGACAGATTTATAAAAAATGGAGAGCATTCCCAGAACCCAGCAATCTAGAGCTTTCCACTTGCTTTCCAGAACAGAAGAAAATGCTAACCACCCTCAGCCTCCGAGCCTGGGCTCCCTGCATATCCCACCCCCGCCCCCTCGCCCAAGGCTGGCTGGCATGCAAACTGGAAAGCCATGTTCTGAGGTACGCCCCTGCCATACTGAGCGTGTCCTCCCAAAATGAGGCCCAAAACCTGGGTTCCACGGAGTTGAGTGAGCTCCACACTGAGGAGAACCTGTGCCCCATTTCTAGGAGAGGCAGCAGGCGGGGCGGAGGCCACCCAAGAGGGCCCAGCAAGGGCAGTAGCCTCCCAGGCAGATCCTGCCCCAGGCAGTGAGGGTGCGAGCAGGAGCCTTCTGTGCACAGGAAGCCCAGTCTGTGTCAGTGAGGTGAGGGGGGAGTAGGCAGTGGCTTTGTCCTTCCTACACTGGTCCCTCCCTCTTGTGTCCAGAGGCAGAGCAGCTAGCGGGCTGGTGGGCGTTGTGCCAGACCAGCCTAGGGTCGTCCAGGGGTGGGTGGGCATGCAGAGCCCAGCACCTAGGTGACTTAGTTAGTGGCTCTTGAAGGGAAGCAACGGACAACATGGCAGAGGCTGGGGGACATGCTGAGAGCTCAGAAGAGTGGCTGCCTCAGCTGCGAGCAGATGCTCAGGCCATTCCCTCCGCGGCTGGCTCTGCTGCAGCTGTTCCAGGGGTGACCTGAGTCAGGACTTGGCTGCACACGGGGGAATGTTTCAACCACGGCCTGTGCCCGTTCCCACGGAAACATGGTCCCTCCTGGGCTCCTTTGCTGGGTCTGGAAAGCAGTGCTGTCCCGGCCAGCGCCCAGGCGGAGGTGCCCATAGGAGGTGCGGGCAGGCAGCTCCCCCCACAGCCCCTGAGTCTCCTGCCTGGCACATCCCACTCAGGCCACCTGCTGTAGGAGGAAGGGTCCTCATGCCTACAGACTCCTCTCCGATGCCAAGGGCAGGGCTCCTGGTGGCACAGGTGGCCCTACCCAGACCCATCCTGCCCTGAGAGGAAGGAACAGCTCCTGGAGGGACCCTCACTCCCCACACAGGCCCCTCCTGGGGCAGCCAGGCCACTTGTCTGACCCTGAGCTCTGAGAACTGGAAGTGTTTAACTTGGTTCGAGGAGCCTTGAAAGCTTCATTTATTTATAGCTTCTTGTTTCAAAACAGTGTTGACAAGAAATCTTTGGTCATTCATACAAACGCTGAGTTGATGGGAGACAAGTCATAATCTAATTGTTTTTGTGGAGGGCGAGAGCGAATGTTGTTGATGAAATAAACATGAAAAGGAGAAAGAAAAATAAAGTGCTCAAAGCTCAGGTGACTTTGTTTTTATTGGGTGTGTGCAGGTTTTTTAATCCTTACCTGAGGATGTTTCTTCTTACCCCCTCCGCTACTTGCCCTCTGAGATTCTGTAGTAATTTATATGCTACCGTGTTTCTGAATGCACTCCATTCATCAGTTTTCTGTTCATTTGACTCTATATATGAGTGAGATCAAGTGATAGTTGTCTTTCTCTGACTGGCTTATTTCAATTAGCATGATGCTCTCCAGGTGTCTCCCCCCCACCCCCCATACTGTGTGAAAGGGTAAGAAATTCTTCATTGTTACTGCTGCATGGTATTCCATGGTATCAATGTACCATAGTTTTTTATCCACTCGTCCACTGTGGGTACTTGAGCTCTTTCCAGATCTTTGTCATTGTAAATTGTGCTGCTATGAAGAGAGGGGTGGTTACTTTCTATCTGATTGTTTCAGGTTTCTTTTTTAAAAATATATTTTATTGATTTTTTACAGAGAAGAAGGGAGAGGGATAGAGAGCTAGAAACATCAATGAGAGACAAACATCAACCAGCTGCCTCCTGCACACCTCCTACTGGGGATGTGCCTGCAACCAAGGTACATGCCCTTGACCGGAACCGAACCTGGGATCTTTCAGTCTGCAGGCCGACGCTCTATCCACTGAGCCAAACCGGTTTTGGCTGTTTCAGGTTTCTTAGGATATGTGACGTATTTCCACCACATCCTGCATGGTTCAGGGTTCAGGATCTGGAAAAGGGGCTGCACACTGTTGGGGACCAGGAGTAAGCTGACATGGTCCCTGCACCTGAAGGGGCTAGCAAGGCTGGGACCCTTACCCACACAGTTTTCCCAGACTTGTTTGGATGGCGATTTTCAGTAGAATGAGAGCAACCTTTGTAGAATGAGAACAGCCTTTCATGGCTTACCAAGAAGTCTGTAACTATTTACTGAGATTTGCTGTACTGAGAACTTGTCCTTCTGTTCTGTCCTCCCTTAGAGATTAAGAGGAACAAAGAATACATTCCTCTTGACAGACCTCCTGTTCAGTGTCTTGTGTATAAATAGCATTGTGTGGTTAATAAATTTGCTGCAGTTCCTGTAGTCCTCCTGATCCCGCTTTCCTGTCTTTCTTTCTTTCTTTTTTTTTTGTCTTTCTTTCTTTTCTCGGCTCAACCTGTCAGGCTGGCCCTGATAAACTGGAACCCGAGAGACCAGGGACCTGAGGACTTGGGAAGCAGACGCTGAGGACTTGGGAAGCAGACGGTGAGGAACTCCTCCAGATAAAGAGTGCACTCGTTAAGGTAAGGGAGGAGCAATTTTTTTGATTGTCGGGAGTAAAGCATGGGACAGTTAGAATCTAGGGAAAATGCCCTTTATGGCCAAATATTAAAGTCTGTGCTCAATAGTAAAGGAACTAAGGTTAATGACAAGCAAGTAGAAAAATTTTTTAAATTCATTCAGGAGGTCTGCCCTTGGTTTCCTGAGGAAGGAACCGTTAATTTAGAAACATGGCAGAAAGTTGGAGAACAAATGCGCAATCATTATAAAGCCCATGGGCCAAGTGAGACCCCGGTTGATGCAGTTTCCTTATGGAATTTGATACGGGATTGTTTAGATCCCAGGCATGACCATAATCAACCGTCTCTTAAGCCAGAAAAAAAAGAGAAGCAGTGTGATAGCACAAAACAGGGCATTGTCTGTTTACCCCCCTGTCCCTGTGCCGTCTCAAGGCCAGCTGGCTGCACAGCACCCAGCCTGCTCCAGGGAGCAAAACGGATACAAGAGTTATTCCGAGCAACCTCCGGAAGTGTCGGGCTGGACCTTGGATCCATAGGGATGAGACATTCTTTCTGCCCTGGGTGCTGCCCTTGCCTACTGAAATAAAGAAAATATTATTAGATTTAGATCCTGGGAATGAGATTGTTCCTCCCACATGGAGAAGAAATGGCGATTTCCTTGCATTTCTGATACAGCTGCAGCAAATGCCACCGGATCTACAACAATATCCCCAATATCCAAATGGTTACTGCAGAAAAAAGAGGCCGTTGGCAGGGAGAGAGAGTTCTTTCTTAATTTTTACTTATCTGAACTATGCTGGACTCAAGGCCGCAAGCTGCTACTGAGCACAACAAATTTTCCTCTGTCCTGTTTTCTTCTCTTTACCCCTTCCAATACTAAATTAGACTAATACAATATAGTTAAAATTACATAAGGAAGGTAACACCTGCTCTTATTAATCTAAAGAAATGCTAAATATTTAACTTGCTAGCTAAGAGTTTAAAGTTCTAGTTAACTTAAATTGGGAAAAATTATAATTATAGTAACTAAATGCCTAAAGTATAGAAATTTATTTTGAGGAAAATCTTGTGCTTTCTCTGAAAAATTCGGAATTCAAAATATGTTACTCATTGGTCTAATTAAAAAAGAATAAATTCTATAATCCCAACCAAAGTTTCTATATACAAAGATCAGTTTTAATTTAATTGATATCTCTTAATAATTATAAAAAGTATATAATCTTTAAATCATATATACACTCATATATTTGATAGTCTTTCAAATTAAATTTCAAAACTATAACCAAGGAATAACTTTGAGACATTTCATGGGCCCTGAACTGTTTTCAAAAGTTTATTCTCTCTTCTTAAAGGATTTTTAAATAAAGCCAATTTAATATACTTGAAATCACACGGAAAGCTTTATCAAATAAAAATTAATAAATATATATTTTAAGTTTTTGCCTCTAAGAAAGGGCAAAACAAGTTATTTTGTTTAATATTTCTTAAAATACAGAAGTAGAATTTTAAGATATAATTTAAAATAACAAAAGCTCCTCACCGCTGCATTTTAAATTAGGCTGAAAATGGGCAGCGTTTACACCTCGTAAATCAGACATAAAACTATCTAAATTTACTAACTTTATTAATAAAAGTACCTACCATAAAAAGCCAGTATCTTTGTAAGCAATTGAATCCTAGTAAAGTAAATTCTTCTAAAAAAATTACTGAAGACTTCCCATGATCCCTCTATAGATGTAAATAAGCTGAAAGGAAATACTATTTAAAAATATTATCTTAAATTTAGTAAAAAGGAGAAATTTAAAAATTTTGAAGTATCTTCCACTAATATTTATAGAATAATCTAATAATTTGCTGTTAAAAATACCAATCTGAAAAGAAGTACAATCATCATAAATATTTAATGACTTTAACTTAAAATACATGGCCTTGCGGCGCTATCAATCAACATCCAGGAAGTAACCTGTAGGTTACTTAGCGTAAAAGAAAAAGATTTTTTTTTTAAATTGAAGTTCTCCAAGTATAACCCAGCAGGAGGAGAACGAGCCAGACAACAAACAGCCCGGAGACCACCAGGGCATGGTAAAGAAGATGCCTGGTGCCTGAGAACGTCTTTCTTGCCATGCTAGCAGTAATCATCTGTACGGTAATATTACCTAGGGCAAATATAGAAATATTTCAGACTTATGTTTCTGACCCTTCATAGATAAGAACCCTTACGTAGGCTGATCCCCCACCTAATATAATATCCAGTAGGAACATGGGTAAGGCAAGGAAGTAGTGGATTGTCACTACTTGCTCCTGGGAGTGGTGCAGAAAATGTAACTAAGAGCTTGTCTATACAAAAAGAAATTGACAGCCAGTTTAAAATTGAATTGCCGTGGCCTAGAGCAAAGAATATCCTGACATGAAATTATTCTACAATGTCATTAATAATTTTTGATATTTTACAACAGCATATTGTACATTTATCCCAAACAAACTTACAAACTAATTCTTTGAATGTTTGGCAGCAATTTAATAAGGACATGAAAGGATTTAATCCCTTCCACTGTGTGGCAGGCCCCATAGGAAGGCACTTAAGCATTCTATATTGACCTCTCTTGCCCTTTTTGATAAGGGGTCCCTCTTCCAATTGCCCACAGCTGTTGCCTGAGCTCTCTGTTCATGCTGAGGTTGAAGCCTCCTGGTGGCTGGTACCATGGATCTGTCTGTTGACCAATGGCGTGAGCTGGGCCCTCTCTGGAGAAGAAACCTGGATTCCCCAAGATATGTGATCAATGCCGGGGCTATTCATGTTCTTTGTGAATGGTGACGCTGAGAGGAGCTTGGTGTGCAGGATACAATTTAGAGAAACAGAGGGCTACCCCTTGCTCAGGCGAGTAGCAAAGCCCCCAAGGCTCTCATGGCTTTTATTAAGGGAATACAGCAAATAACAATGGAGTACAGCAAGTGGCAATGATTAACAAGCATGCTTGTGAGATCATCTGAGCTAAGTTATACATTAAACTATTAGTTTCCTATGTTATACAAAGATTCTTTCCACCTGCAGCAGTGCACCCTCCGTTGTACTTTCCGTGCCCTCATGGACTATTTCACCTCAAGGAAAGTTCTGCCTCTGAACAAAAAGTCTTCCTTGCAAGACTTTGTTCTGACGTGGCCTGTTTGCAGGCTCCCGTCCTTTCTCGGCAGAACGTCCTCTTCTAGTTAACTTCATTCCGCTTGACCAGCTACAGGGGCCCCGCCAGCAGGCAAGGGGATCCCAAGGCAGGGCTCAAGGGTCATCAGCCTTCCGGGCTCCTGGTCCACACCTCTCTGCTAGTGAAGACAACAGGAGGTTTCCCACAGGATATATTCCTAAAAGTGGAATCACTGGATCCAATGGCAGTTCCACATTAAATTTTTTTGCAAAACTCCATACTGATTGCCATCATGGCTGCACCAGTTTGCATTCCCACCAGCAGTGTACTAGGGTACCTTTTTTTTCTACATCCTCACCAGCACTTTCCATTTGTTGACTTGTTGATGGCCGCCATTTTGACAGTTGTAAGGTGATACCTAATTGTTGTTTGAATGTTCGTGTCTCCGATGATCAGTAACTTTGAGCATTTTTTCACCTGTCTCTTGGCCATCCTATCCCCACTGCAGCAAAGGCAGAGCTGCACTTGGGTTGGCATCAGAAGCAGATGCCTTTAAAGTATGTGTGTCTGTTTTGTGCCATT